CACAACATCCATATTGCCTAAAAATTTCAGACAAATCGGTCCACGAATAATGAAAAACGATTCCTGAGGGGGGGGGGGGGGGCCCCTTAATTCATCAATCGAGGAAGGTTATTTCAATTTTTATAAGGTATAAACTATGACAACGACGTTGATAGTAGCAAAAAAAAAAGAAAAATTCAAACACATCGTAGGTGTCACGCAACTGAGAAGAAGAAAAGAAAAAAAACCTTTTTCCTTTTCACTTATTTTGTTAACATGTGCATTAAGTTGGAGAATAAAAAAAGGTTTGGAATCAAAAATTTGTCAGAGTATTTTACGTCAATAAAATTCAAACTAATCTGAATTTTTTCAAATAGTGTCATTGTATTGGTAGAGTTGTTTATTTTTTATATGTTTATGTGTTTATCTTAATTTCTGGTTAGATTTTATTATCTTATAGATTGATAATTATGTTTGAAACAATAATAGCTTCATTTATTAAGCGTTATGTCTCACGCTATATTGATATTAATGCCGATCAATTATCTGCCCAACTTCTATACAAACAACAAATTATTATTGAAAATTTGACTTTAAACAAAACAACGATTAATGAAGACATTCAAACAATACTTAAATTACCAATAAAAATCGAATTAATTAATATCAGTAAAATTGAATGTTCATTTGCATGGAGTTCATTGTTTTTTCGTTCGTCATCAGCCGCATTAATTGTTAAAATTGAATGTATTCATGTAGTTATCACAGAAAATGAAGATGATTTATCAACTGATATTGTAGAAGAAAATAATCAAATAAAAAAACGTAATCAACTTGATTTAATTGAACAACAATTAGAAAAAGAATTGGAATGTTTTGGTGAAGTTAAATCATCAAGATGGAATGTTCAACGATTATTTATTTCATTTTTTGAAAAACTAAAAATTGAAATTGTTGATATTCATATAAGTTACAAAAGTTCTAAACTTTATACAATAGGATTAACGTGTGATTCAATTCAAATTTCAAATGAATCATCGAACGAAACAATAAGTCGACAAGTATTTCAAATAGTCAATCCTGCTTTTTATATTGACATTAATAATTCTTCAACACATTCCTATATTATTTCACCATCAAGTTTAATAGAAATTTATCTCATACATAATCATTTTCTAGTTAATCAAAAAGAATATTGCTATGAATTTGAATGTTCATTAAATAATTTGAATATAAGATGTAATAATGAACAAATTCGTATTCTAGCTGATATTATTCGACGTGTTCAACATAGAAGTCTTCATCAAATGTTAATCTCAGATCCGAGTAGGCCTCGTTCGAAGATTTCTAAGCAAACAGCTAAAGCTTGGTGGCATTATATTATTTTGGCCGTTCTTCGAACACAAATTGATTTGAAAAATCTGACTATAAATTTTTGGTTTGATCGTCTTTTGTTAATACATCGATTACATCAATTAAAGACTTATAAACGTTTATATCGAGCTTATCTTGATAAAAAATATGGCAAATATTCGAATTTTTCTTCTGAAGATGAATTAATAATGAATAATATTGAAGTAGAACTTGATATAAAACATCTTATAATCATACGTCGTTCGATCTTTCAAACCCGAATTAACGAACAATTAAATGAAAAAAAAGAAGCAGTTGGATGGTATTCGAATTATGCTAAATGGGTAACAACAAAAGTGATTGATTTATGGGAACGAATGTTAACTTCAGAGAATATAAATACTAGTTTAAACGAAAATGATATCAAACTTCAAGAACAAGTTAATACATTCATTGCAGAATCAATCAAAGATGAAGATTTATTGGAAAGTTGTCATAATTCTCTGATTTTTCATTTTAAGTTTACACTTAAATCAGTATATATCGATATTTTATCATCAAACAATAATATTCTCTTCAATTTTTATCTGAAAAATTTATCCTTAATGACTGAATTTCGATTGCGTCATCAATCTATAGTTGCTTCTCTTCATCTTGAAGATTTATCTATGCATGATCAAGGACAAACAGATAAGTTTTCAACAATTATATGCTCAAAAGAAAGATCACAGCAAGAGTAAGTCATCTATTCAGTTAAGATCAAAATCGAAAATGTCAATTAATAATCTATTTTCGCAGAAAATCAAAACGAGTACCTGTTTTTCAACTCATATTTGAGAAGAAAGCAAAATCAAAAAGTTTAAAACAATCTTCATATTCGATCGACATTCGTAGTTGTGGTCTCTGCATAGTTTTTTGTCCAGAATCTGTTGAACGATTATATCATTTTTATCTTTCGGCTTTTGGTCAATTTCCTCGATCATTGTCATCATCTTTTCATAACTGGAAACAGATTAAAAACTATGTAGTTAACAATTTGATGTTAACATTCGAATCAATCATGCCTACACATATTACTAATAGTAATAAAGTGAAGACGTTTCATCTACAAAATTTCGGGCGAAATCGACATCGAGAGAAGAAAATATTTTATATTTATGTAGATATAGGTGCTCCAAAAATAATTATTCCTTTACCATCACATGATGCATTAGTAGTTGATTTAGGTTGTTTGACATTGAACAATGACACTAAGAGCAAAAGCGATACTCTAACATTCTTACCAAACACTATATTTGCTCAACAACAAGTTGAAGAGAATGATGATGAAGCATTTTTGACACCTGATAGTTCTCCTGAGGCAATTGATAATCCATTAGAAGAGGAAACTACATTTTATTCAATTAATGTAATTTCAACAGATCAAACTGATAATCATGTTGAATATTCGTCTTTTACGCTCTCGATTCGCGATGTACAAGTTGGATATTCAATGGATTCTTCACCGATGCTAGAAAAATTTACTATTTATTTTATTATTAAACATCCTATAAATCATTTATGGCCATTGGTCAACATTTCAGGTTCATTGCAAAAGATTATTGTTCATTTGGATTCACAAAAAATTCAAAATCTCTCTTGTATTATAAATCCTTGGATTATATTTATTGACAATTTTGTCACTAAATCGCATTATCAATTAAATATTTTGCCTGTGTTTAACTTTCGTTTAGATGAAATAAATGTTCTATTAAATGATGATTCTCAAGATCTCTGTCATATTCGCATACAAAATATTGATCTATCATTAATTAATAATAATTATTCGAAAATTTTAACTTTTATTTTACAAACTTTAACGATATTCGATTGTATGCAACGAGTTGGAAAGGACTATCAAATCTTATTAAAAACAAACCAAGTTTCAAATGTAAATGAACCTTTTATCTGTGCTAATATTAATTTCTTAATAAAATCTCAAATTTCTGAAAGTAATTCAATAATTGATATCAATGCAGACAAACTTGATTTTGTTTTTAATCCGAAGACAATTTGTACATTAGTCAACTTTTTATTGAATCTCAATCTTTTTTCTTGGAATCGAACAATATTAAAAAGTATGAGCAATTTGGGAAATCCTACAAGCTGTAAAATAAATGGTAAGTTGCGAGAAATTAATGTTCTCTTTATTAGTATATTACCAAACATATTATCAACTGATGTTCATGTCAATAATATCTTTTTGAACATCTTATTAAACCCATTTTCAACATTTGAAGTAACTCTTAGTGATGTAAAAATCTTTAATATTTTGAATAATTCACAACAATCTTCTAGTATTTTGATTACGGATGATGAACAAATGAATCTTATTGTGGATCTAAGCAATCATTTAATCAACAATGAATTATCACAAAATACACCGTTACATTTATTGTTGATAAAAACAAAGGACAACAATTATAATTTATCGATTAAAATAACTTCTATTTTTTATTTTTATTCACGTAAAATGATCTATAGTATTCAACAAATTCTTGATTATATAACTCAACATTGTCACTTGATGGCAAAACAAGAAGCTAAAAGAGAAAATCAAATCATATGGCTACTTAATTATTTTACTCGTTTAGTAAAAATTCCTAATAATTCAATAATATGTTCACCTCAATATACTTTGAATATTGATCTTCATACGTTGACAGTTATTTTTCCTATGAATATTGTTGTACAACTCAATCGAACTCATATAAGAAATGGTCATGATCACTTATCAGATTATGAAATTAATATTGATCGAATAGATTTATTTTCGATGAATTTTAATGATGAAACTCGATCGGAGATTAAAAAGAATCATATTCATCTCTCACAACATTTATTTTTGCAGTTCTTAGAAAATATTTCCATGTCTTTCAACCTTCAATTATCTGATTCATCGATAAAGATCGATTCAAAAGTAATTTCTTCACTTCGAATATTTCTTAGTCCGAATCGAATAAAATATATAGAAGAAATTCTAAAAACAACATCCATTCATAATACAACATTATTATCTAAATTCGTTTTTCATTTAAAATCATTCCAAATGATTGTTATCTTTCAAACGGATCGTAATTATGAGTTAATTACAATATGTGAAGCAATTTTAGATCAATGTCAAATATTATATGAAAAAGATTATCCTTACAATAAGAAAATTACTCTTCAATTCAATTCTCTTCAAATTAAAGATCGTTTAACAAATATTGAAGAATCTCTTATTGTATTAAAATTTCCATCATCTATTCAACTAAATATGTGTCAGATCGATAATCGACATAAACAACTCAATGTCAATTTGAGAAAAATTGATATCAAATTTGTCAAACTAACATGGAGAATTCTGTCAGAAATTATCGAAATATTATATAATGAAATTTATCCATTAAAAATTACAGGTGAGAAGATTTATATTTAAATAAAATGAAATTCATATTATTGATTGACCTCTTTATGTTTCTTTTTAGAGATTCAAGAGAAGAAAAATCAAATAATGTCCATCGGTGATGATTCATTGAAAATCTCAATCAATATTGAATCTATCTCGTGTATTTTTCAAGATAATATAGTGTTGCTTATGAACATCAATCTTCAAAATTTTATCTTACAAATTCAGATTTATTCAAAACAATCAATAGTATCATTGACTATCAATGGTCAACTTGCTTTTATTTCTATACATGATCTGTTAACTATTAATCAATTATATAATGAACGACTTCGTACAACTGGTACAAATGCAATTATCTTCACTTTTACTACAGGAGAAAATTTTTCAGAAATTCTAGATACTGATCTTTCAAGTCGTTCTCAATTACATTTACAAATGGCATCAATTCAATACATTCATACCCAACGTTTTCTTCTTAGTCTTATTGATTTTTTTAATCGTTTTCGACAGAATGAATATTTCTATAATCGATTCCAGACGTTAATTATCAAACCAATCATTTCGAATACAATTAGAAATTTGAATGGAATTCTTTGGAATACTGAAATTGAAAATATGATTCTTATATTACCCGAAGATGTACTAAAAAAATCAGTTCTCATTTTTCAACTAGAATATATTAATTTCAATAATAATTTTCTCTTTAAAAAAAAATCGAATATATTAAGTAGTTTGAAAGAACAAACAAAAAACCTATCTAACAAATTTTCTTCACTCGATTTTATCTCAATAGAAATAAAAAATATTGAATTTTATTCAACATACTACTGTTTATTCAATGAAAGATCTTTAATATCTATTCGTTTTTCTAATTTTGGATTTAGTCATATGCAGAATGAACTTTCATCTATGGTTCGCCAACAATTTCATTTAAACATTAAAATAGAACATAATTTTGACAAATCAGTTAATAATACATCACCAACGTATAGCATAAAAATAAATCTCTCATCTATTGATATTCTCTTAGATTTAAATCAATATCGTCTCATACAAAATATAATTGCTTCTAATATCAATGAAGAATCTATTATTATGATAAACAATCTATTTAACTCTTTATTAAAAGGAAAAAACGATGTTTATACTGATTTTGTTGTTATTATTGAAATTGATCATGTTGGATTGGAAATATTTCTACTCGATATTAATTTTTTATCGTCCAGTCATCGTCGATCGTTAGGTTATTCAGCCTTAAAAAATCTTTATATTTCATTCGATCAATATTTCAATGGAAATCAATTCTTACATCTTTTGTCTTCTGCAATTCAACTTATTAATACACAAGTTCCAAATGGAAATATGATTATTTCATTATCAATGCCATCAAATTCTAATCAAATAGAAATTCATCTATCAAAAACAAAACTTACTAACGAATGTACAATAACACTGAATTGTGTTCGTTTTCTATTAGTTACTGATTGGTTACTTAAACTCAATGAATTTCTAAATTCACTCTGTGAACATCAGTATACAATTAATAGTAGTTTATCAATCCTATCGTTTGAAATTAAACTTAATTTAAATCGATTCGAACTTGTATTTGTTTCAAATATAAAAGATCCATATACAAGTGCACTCGTTTATTCTAGTACAATGTTTGTTAACTATAAAAAAGGAATTCAACCAGTAGAATGTTCAATAATTGATTTAACATTTTTTACATGTCAAATTGGATGTATTGATGAGACAACAATTTCCATCATTGAACCCATTGATTGTTCTTTTGTTCTTCATACATCAAATGAGATACTTAATGAACAAACATGTGAACTTAATATTCCCATATTAAACATTCGTATTTCATATTCAAATATTAAAATGATATTATCTTTGTTTAATTCAATATTTAAACAAATATCTCAAGCAAAAAGTCAAAAATTTTTATTAACATATTTTAAAAGAATTATTACATCACCGTTAAAAAATGATCAATCATCAGAAGAAAATGCATTTCTAAATATAAAATTTTTAAAATTAATATGTGATGAAATATGTTTATGTCTTATTGATGATTGTTTCGATGTAAATATTCCTTTATTAAATATTAATTTAAAACCTTTTAATTTAAAAACAATAGAAAATAGTCATTCATATCGTACAGTTCAAAGTGATTTTCAATTAAATATTTCATATTATAATCGTTTTCAATCCGGATTTGAACCATTAATTGAAACATGTCAATTACAAATGACTTTGAGCAGATCATTGTCGGCCGTTTCATTATTTATTTCTTCGAATGAAATACTTAATTTAAATTTTACAAAAGCAATGTATCGTTTATATAATACAATTAAAACAAATTGGTTAACGGATTATCAAAATTCCAAGAATGATATTGGAACGAATACATCGAAAAAAGAAATCGGTTTTCGTTGTGTAAAACCATTTGATTCATATTGTTTTAAGAATTTAACTGGAATTCGAATAAAATTTCGCACTTGGATAACGGCTGAACAACAATTTTCAATTCATGAAAATATTGTTGATGATAATCAAACGATTTCATTTTGTTTTTCTACTCGTTCGTCTCAATTAAGCAACAATATAAATCAACATCGTCAAGTGAGAGCACGAACAAATTCAGTTGTTACTTCTTTATTTCAAACTGATCATCGTCTATTAATTTCAATCGATGGTTGGAAATGTTTACAATCAATATCAATTGATCATGTCGGTAAATTTTTTCGATTAGCCATTCCATCCGATAATAATCAATTATTTAAGCCGATTCTCATTTTTATCGACATCACTATGACAGATAGTTCAATACGTTTGATTACAGTAAGATCCCCTATCGAAATACGAAATCAACTATTGACATCAATCGATATTCGATTTAAATGTAATTTCGATTTATCGCACGAGTTTTGTTTAGAACCAAATGAAATTCGATCATTACCCATACAATTCTGTTCAATACTCAAACAAATTCAAGTTCGACCCGCTAATTTTGCTCTTGACTATTGTGATGATCCTATCAATTGGTTTGAGATTGAAAATGAAAATATGTCAGATGCACAAAGCGCTAATAATAGGTAGGATGAATATATGTCATTTAATGAAGATTTTGTAATTATATATATTTTCAAGATCTAGTACTAGAAAATCTTCTGCATCAGAAGAAAATACAATAAGTCGTCAATCATTTCTTCGTACATGTTCATTCAATGGAAAAGAAGCCGTTTATTATGTATGTTTCCAATCAAAACAAACTTCTCTTTTAACCTATCAAGATCATACACTTTCGCTCTATCAGTTATCTATTTTTCCACCGTTAACAATTTGTAATTTACTTCCATGTACATTAACTTTTGAAATATCATCTTATCCGCAAAAATTTGAACTCAATGCGTATAAATTTCATCGAGATCATACATTAAATATTCTTCAAGCCATAGATATTGTCTTTGCTACTAATATCTATCGTATGAATAAACCAATATGTTTATCATCAATAAATGATCTTCATCGTATGAAATATACTCATCAACGTGTTATCTTCTATGATAATAATCAACGAGAATTAATTGTCGATATTACCATTGTATGTGTCATTAAACATCGTCTAAAACTTTTCGTATCTGTTCCCTATGTCTTATTAAATAAGAGTGGTAATATTTGTAGTTGTAATTAATTTTATCTTGATAATGTCTCTTCTAGGTATTCCATTGATTTTCAAAGACGTAAATTCAAGAATTGAAGCAGCTGGACAAAATAAAGAAGATGAAATAGCGTTAAATCGAGAACCACTTCTTTTTTCATTCAATGATTCAAATCGTAATAATGCATGTATAATGAGAGTAGGTACAGGTTTACATCTTCATCAAGATGGACGTCCTCAATGGTCACAACGATTCAATTTAGAGCATGGTTCAACTTATCGGCAATTAAAAGTACGTTCATCACGTAATTCATCCGATTGGAATTATTCTATTAGTATTGATGTTCATTTCGGAAATGGTCATATGAAAAAAACAAAATTTATTTTTTTCAATGCACGTTATATTATTTGTAATCAAAGTTTATACGATTTATTGATTAGACAACAACACATACCAGATGATGATTCTAATTGGCTTCATGTGTCAAGACATGCAACTGTTGCTTATCATTGGCCACGTACCGATATTGAACAATTACTATGCGTACGAGTTATAGATGATAATCAATTTCAATTGGTTCATTGTTCGGGCGGTTTTCAAATAGATTGTATTAATGCATTTCATATAAATATGAGATATAATAATGGTCAATGTTTAATACTTCGAGTACAAATTATCGAACGAAATGGTACTTATTTTGTTGTATTTATGGATTCGAACCAAATGCCAGCTCCATTTCGTATATATAATCGATCTGATGTACCAATTCAATTCTATCAAACAGAAATTCGAGAAGATCTAAACCATTTGCGCACAATGATTCTACCACATCAATCACTCGATTATGCTTGGGATGAACCAACATTTAAGCCGACGATTACTTGTTCGATCACAGATGGTACTAAGGCAACCTATGATCTTCTTAAACTTGGTTCTGCCGATGATTTACACTATCAAAATTATATATATCTCGCTGTTCAAGAAACATTTGATGGTGAAGATCTTATAGAACTATTATCGACAACAAATAAGACTTACAATACATCACATTATTCATCTCAACAGCTCGTCATTGAATATATCGATGGTCGATTGTTACTATCAAAACTTGAGGAAAATAAACGTTCACAATTATGGCAGATGACAAGTAATGGCCTATTGATTCATGTTGGATCGTCATCACTTCAAGAGTCGAACACGAAGAAAGAATATTTCGATGATATTCGACAAGCATTTGTCTTAGATATTAAAGATTCGATTGATAATATTTTGAGCAATCTAATGACACGTTTTACTCCATTGATAGTGAGACGTTACGATCCTAAACGATCCTTTACACAAACTTGGCAGTTTCTCGATAATGTTTATTTGTGTATGGCAAATACACAGATGTGTGTTCAAGTCTTTGGTGAATTAAAGGAAAATAGTGATGTAGTTCTTGGACCGATTATGTAAGATTCTCTCCTTCTCTTTTTTCCGACAATCACATATTATCTTCTTTCTGTTTAGTGAGAATAAAAATCCGTTACCTTCAGTAACTATGCACATTCGTTCTCATCAACGTTATAAAGGTTCTGGTGTCTTATATACCCGTATAATTGCAGATGGACCCACAAATGTGCTCGAAATAGATCATATAAAAACAACTGATTTACCAACCATAACTACTAGTTTATCACCATCATCAACTGTTTATCATTTGGATCTTCATTTTCCAGCTGGTGTTGGCGTATCTATTGTAGGATCTATCGGTCATGAATCGGAAGAACTTCTTTATGTCCTTGTTAACAATGTTCATGTCGAGTATAATGATAAAGATCATGAAAAATCAATTGAAGCAACAATCGATACTCTCATTGTCAGTTTTAATTATTTCACTTATTCAACTAGAGATTTATTTTCATTTTTATGTTCAGATTTCGAATCAACTTTTGATGACAACAATACCATGCTTCCTCTATGCAACTTGTACCAGAGATACATCAGTTCAATCAGCTATTCGTTTACAAGTAAATTGGCAAAAATTCAATGCTAATTTCATGTAAATCATAACTTTTCCTATTTAAAAAAATAAACAATCAATATTTTTTTAGTCTTCGTATCATTCGTTGTCTTCGTATCGACCTCAATTCAATCACAATTCAACTCGATGAACTTCTTTTGTGGAAATTAATTGATTTTTTTGATATTGAAATCTCATCGTTATCTGCATTACTATTTAGAGCTGGTGGCATTGGTAATAGTTCCAATTCTGATCGTAAAATTAATCTAAATGTAAATGATTACGATACAGAACGAATTCTATCATTATTGACATCAACACATGCTACTCGAATCTATTTTAATAAACTTTATTTATCACCTATCAATCTCAAGTTAAGTGTGTATTGTATTCATTCAAAACGATCGCTTCCAATGCATTTATTGGCTATTAAACGACGTGCATCATTTCCTCTTGTTTCTTTTGAAAATGCTGAAATACATTTAAGAGCTTACGAACAAACACATATTTCTAATACGTACGATTTTTTTCTGTTCTCAATAATGACACACTATGTTAATGTTTGTACACGACAAATACTGAAAATTGTAGGTAGTGTCGATTTTCTTGGAAATCCACTTGGATTAATTCATGATGTGAGCAATGGTTTAACTTGTCTTGTTGATCAAGGTAGTGTAAGTGGTCTAGGTAAAAATGTAACTCATGGTGTTGCTGATTCAGCATCAAAGATTACAGGTTCACTATCACATGTTATTGGGTAAACTTGTTTCGGATAATGAACTTGATAGTCGACGACAAACTACAGTAGACCATCGTCGAGGTTCAACACTCGGTAATGTTATTCGTCATGGAAGAGCTAGTTTAGCTGCTGGATTTTATGGTGGATTGACATCAATTATTAAACAACCATATAAAGGTGTTGTTGAAGAAGGTGTTCCTAGACTTGTTAAAGGTTTTGCGAAAGGTATTGTTGGAACAGTAAGTAAACCTATGATTAGTATACTTGATTTTACAAATGAAATGGCAACAGCTATCAAAGAAGGTTCACGTTCACCGAATATAATTCTACATAGTCGTACAAGACCAACACGATGGCCATCAAATAGTTTAGGTCTACTTCAATCATATTCGATATTCGATTTTTGATGCTCAATGTCATTATTTGCTTTACAAAATCAACAAAGGCAATATGACTGAACGATATATTTCAAGACTTACTCTTTCTACAACACAAACTAGTAATACGTCAGATAAACGGATAGTGACTACAAATAGTTCGCATAACAAATTTACATCAGACCGAAGAGATGCCTCTGTCAATGTAAGTTTAGTTTATTTCAATCATTTTTCTTTTTCTAGACAAATATATATTTTTCAATAGGCAATGATCACTACACAACGTGTCATTATATATCGAACAATAGATGACGAATCTGACTTATTCAACTTTGAAATCATTAATAGTTACAATTTCACTACATCAATGACAGTTGTTCCTATCGGTTTGTAGCTCATTTATGTTTCTTCTTCTATGGTTAATACATATTCATGAAATTAGAATTCTGATCGATTGCCTCATGTCTCGTAGGAATGCATTGATAAGTGACACTAATCTTCACGTCCCTTGGTAAATCTAACATTTCTAGTCACCAATTGGTATTTGATACGAGGGAAATATAAATAGTATAGACTATTAATATTTACCCAAAAGTCGACTTCAATTCAAAGATAAGTGGAAGACTTAGTGATTGGATTCTACAAAGAGCATATTTAGTACAAAGTCGAATCTAGTTTTTATCTACTTGAGTTGTGTAGGACAGTTCCAAATTCAGTTTGTATCATAAAACTTGTTCACCTACTAACTCTAAATTAATGAAATCTCACTAAAAGACATAATCAAGTTTTTTTTTCTAATAGAAGATGATGATGATCATGTTTATATTCAATTTCTTATTGATTCCAATACTTCCACTCTATCAAACAATACATCAAACATACCTCATCAGTGTGATACTCTTTAACAAGCCAAATTGTTCATTCATGAAGTACAACGAGCACAAGACATATTTCAGGAAGAGAAAATGATTTATGTTACATCCGATGACGAATACGACGATATTTATAACGATATTCTCAATGATCAACAAACTGAAAAATAATTTTCAACTTACTTAATTAATTTTGTTCATCATATCCAAAAAAAGCACAAAATAAATTTTCTTTTGAGTAGAATAAAATCAAAACATTACGTTAGTGATCCAATTTGATCAGCAAATCCAGTTTTTGTTAAACTTTCTTCCCATTCTCGTCAAGCATGTTCAAATTCTTCACGTTTTAATTGAAAACGTTCTTCTTCTTGTTAAATATTCAATCGATATGTTTCTTGAGTTTTTAAAACCTAAAATTCATCAATAGAGAAATCCTTTTCGATGAAAATTAAAAATGATCTTTTACATTTTGTTTGCTTTCTTCTAGTTTCTGTCATTTTTCTGTGACTTTCGATTGATGAACAGCTTCCATATCACGAGATATTTCTTCTACTCTTGTTTCTGGTTCAATTCGTTCATCTTCTATTTGTGATAAAAAATTTTTATAAAATAAAAATAATACCAATTCAATAAAATATTTTTCGAATTACTTATTAACTGAAGACGTTTGTAATGTTTTGCCATTTTTTATAACAATAATTTTCATAATAAATAGTATGTGTTACGTCACGTAAATCATTTAAATTTGTTCGTATTAACATACTTCGTAATGCAATACAATCAGTATGAACTTCATCTTCAACTAGAAAAAAACGCAATAAAAATTATTTTCAATTTGAGAAAAAAGCAAAAAACAAGCATACCATCAACAATGCTCCAAACATGTTGTCCAAAGGCTTCGTCTTTGATCGATCCTTTTACAATAACAATTAATTCTTGCATACTGATGCAAGATGAAATTGAATTTACACAGTGATTGAAAATGGCATTTGAAGAGAATAAACCTACGTTCGATAGAAGAGAATCTGTTAAGAGACAAGAGCTGTCAAAAAGAAATAAGTAGCAACTGCCAACTTGTTACTTTACCAGTTACCCGGTAACATGAGAAATACTGTAATACCCATAACTCGGGTATCGAGAGTCAAAACATAGTTATTAGGATATTCACTTAATGAGTTCACAATACTCACATGCCGCTAAATTAACGATTTTGAGTGCACTTAGTATAATTAGATGAATAGACAACTACATACTCATATGTCTTCAGGGTCCAGCAAATTGAGGTACAGGTGTCGAGTAGATCTTACCTTGAAGTCTTCCCCGTCTGAAAGTGCACAAACTCACAACATTGTTGACTACTACTCTAATATCTTTCTTTCAGAAATGATGGTATGATTATAGTTCAACACATTTTCTAATAAGTCTGATGATTTCCAAGAACCACGAAATCTATTAACATCTCTCCTCTCTCAGAAAAAAACCCCATGGTCTACTACTATGGAGATTCACATCGTTCTGTTGAAGGTGTCCTTTTACTGTGAACTATTTTGTTTGCCAATATTTACCTATATAAACCTGTTTTTTTTTCAGCAGTGTCACATATCCAAGATTTTGGAGATGCCACCACATCTCCTGCGGGAGATGCCGCATCTCGCGCGAGAGATGCGAGTGTGGGTGTGGGGATGCGTCTCTCTAAAGGAGATCTTACATCTCCAGTGGTGAATGACCTCATCCCCCGAGTGTGGGTGCCGCGTCTCCAGCTGGAGATGCGGTGGCATCTCCAAAATCTTGGATATGTGACACTACTCTTTTTTTTAACTTTTTAATATTCAACGGGCATTTTTAGCAAATAAGTGTCGGGAAACCACTATGTTTACTAGGAAAAAACTTTGCTACGATAAAAAATAGTGATTTTTTACTCAACAGACCGATTTTTAGGTACTTAAATCCCGAAATTTGCTGCTATTAGAATTATTACATCCATAGGTTGTTGAAAAGATCTATATACATATATATCCCCCTGGAAAAAAATATTGTCACACGATATTCTTGATATATCATCATTATAAATTAACATTTTGAGTAACGTAGTTATATATTCGGATAGCCTGTGGAATTTTCTACAAATCTATATATGTACGTTTTGAATTGCACTTGTTTGCTAAAAATAAATTCAAGCACAACAAAGGTACCCTCATCACCAGATTCCCTAGAAACGCATTTTGTTTCTTCATCCATTTTTTCAAAACTATTTTTAATATAGGAACAAGTTATTACAAAAGTACGCATATATTCTGAAAGCGCGTGAAATTCTCTATCATCCTATATATTTATGTCTTATCTTGCATTTCTTTGCTGCAGTGAATAAATGCAAAAAAAGACATACATATTTAGGATGATAGAGAATTTCATGCGCTTTCAGAATATATACTTGCTTTTGTAATAACTTGTTCCTATATTAAAAATATATTTGAAAAATAAATGAAAATAAACAAAACAACATTTTTCCGGGCAATATGAAGATGAGGGTGCCTTTACTGGGCTTGAATTTATTTTTAGCAAACAAGTGCACTTCAAAACGTACATATATAGATTTGTAGAGAATTTCACGGGCTACCCGAATATATAATTACGTTACTCAAAATGTTGATTTATAATGATGATATATCAAGAATATCGTGTGACACTATTTTTTTCCAGGGGGATATATGAACTCAAGTCTCATAGAAAAATTCAACCAAGTCAAAGACATTTTAACTATATTATACGTCTGTGTCAATTGATTATGCATTCACATTTAACATTACTATTAAGAAAAATTAAGAGATATTATTCATCGTTTATAAACTGTAATTCTATTCTTTTACATGTGCATCACTTGATTGTTCAAATGCCAGCTGTGTGAAACGTCACGGCGTTAAAACAATGAGTTCCGATTTTACTTTTACACGTGGGAGTTCAAGCTTGTTGAAAAAAAAGTTTTTGCTCGTTTTGGTAGAGGATACGGAGTACAAGATTATTCTTTACAAAGAAAAAAATTGAAGAAACTTATTATTATGTTGGCTTTTTACCAAATGATAAACGATCGATATAATTTGGTGGTCTTTATCAAGCTGTAATTGGGTGTTTTCCAACTTAATTCGTTTTTCAGCATACCATTTGCTAACTTTCTTATTATTTTATGCGGCTGAGAGAATGAAGCAAATATAGGCGTCTTCACTCAATTCAATTCAATTCGGTTAGATTTCGTGCTCTGATTTTTATCTGGAACATAAATAATAGGGATTCGAAATTCCTTACAAGCACTGCCTAGGGAACTCCTCCAGGTAAAGTTCTGCTTTTAACATGATATTTTGCTCAGATGTAGATCTCAGTGAAACCAAAGTGACTTCATAAGAATTTGAGTTTCTGGCCTTTTCTACTCGAGCTACGATTGTTTTATTTTAGTTTTTGACTTATTGCATAGGCACATGAAGAACAATCACGGAGTATAACGCTGAGCTGGAGTTTTGTCTACAGGTAGACAAAAAATGGTCATTAGATGATGCTAAATTTTAGCATAAATTTATGTTCTCTTCACAAGATATTGAATTTTCAAAATGATACTTATGTTTTAGCAAATAATTGAAAAATTGAGGTTATTTGACATTGTCATATCTCGTCAAGAAAGCGTTCATTTATGCTGAAAATTTTAAGATAATCTAATAAGAAATTGGTCTATCTGCAGACTAAATTCCAACTCGATTTTATCTTATTTGGTCATTCTCTAGGTAATTATATATTAAGCTAAAACACAATGAAGCAGTTACAAATCGAGAAAAGAATGCGTCGATAAAAGATCATACGTAAAAAATAAAGTTCATTCTAGGAGAGTTTCATTGATAATGATCCAGCAAATTAAAGATATCGTTATATTTGAAATTCAGCACTATTACATAGCAAAAAAAACAAAAGTTATATCTTCAGACATAAGTTAGGCATTATATTCGTATGCAGTCAAAATTCTACGATGTGTATCCTGCAGATCATCAAACGAGCGTGACATTTTTCGCGCATTTTGAAGATCAGTTCGAACAGGCTTGATTATTGATGTTACTTCATTTTTATATTGTTCCTTGTTCTGCTGTATTGCATTTTCCAATTTTTTCTCCTTTCTAAGTTGTGTAACAGGAAGAAGACGTATCTGCTCATTGACTCGCATTTGTCGAAGTAAAATATACAGAACCAATGTCCAAAAACCTTCAAAAGCATTACAGACCACAAATAACCACCCCAGTACTTCCACAGTTTTCTCATCTGAAAAGGATAAAAATGGTCCAAGAAGCCAACCAATACCTTGAGTGATACATGATCCGATTAAAACTAATACACATTGTTTCATTCGTCGATAGGTCAAATGCCGCGAAGTTGAACGTCTTAGGTGATCGATTAGCCGCTTGGCAACGAATATGAGCATAAAAACATTGAGAGCAAGACATACACAAATGGGAATTGTTACAAAATAGTGAATAACACGTCTAGTAAACCAACATATTTTCTTAACATACAATGCTGTAATTTCCAAAGATGAATTCGAATTAAATCCAGCAGCAAATGCCACGTATATAATAGAAATGAGAAATGATATAATAAGCAAACTATATAACTTTCGGAATGATGCCGGAGGAAATAGATAAACAAAATTGATGTAACTAAAGTAGGCGACGCTTGTCTTGATACAAAACATGAGTATTAGAAAAAAGTAAACAAAGAACATGAGGACACTAGCACTTAGAAAACAAACATCCATATTGTTTGTTTCCGATGACGTAAACACAGTCAAGCCTAGTGCAATGTAAAATATGAACAGAAGCATCGTAACTGCATTTGATACGAGTGGTAACAAATCCTTTGCTTGTAGACTCATGTCTGGATTAGTGATTCGCGTGAAAACTGCATGTATGATCGTGATTAGAAAACAGAAAATAGAAACAAATTGGAATACTAGTGATGCAATGTCCTGAGTATTGAGTGTACGACTTAATGACGTTTTTGGCAACCATATAAGAGCAAATGAAGTAAAGTGATCACAATTACATTCGTATCGATCCCATTCAGCATTGTATACAGGTCTTGAGCATCCTGAGTCGTTCCAATTTTTTGTATGACTATCGTAGAAAGAGCAATAAAAGTCAACGTTCTTGATTGATTCTAGAACCAAATCCTTTCTAACACGGAAATAAAGTGAAATATTTATGTTCGATGAACTTTGTTGGCTGTTGCACTGTATATTAGCAACAACAACAGACGATGCCAATGTTCTGTTCAGCATATCTGTTACATTTCGGTATTCATTCGGCAAATCAATTAGCAATATTCGAAGAAAATTAATGCCATCGAATGACTTAAAGCTGTACACACCACCCGCAGAAATATTGGACTTGACTTCTCTATCACGAGTCTCGTTAACAACGATTCTACCGCCACTGCCAGATAAAAAGACCGCACCCACTACTATACTACCACTATTTGTCGAAGGTTTTTGTGACATGATGAAGCCGTTTTGTACACTACTGTTGACGCTAATATTTAGTCGGGAAACAGCGTTATCGATATCTTCTGGCGTCAATGTTTCAACTGGTGCTGTCTGATTGAAGTACGCTATTAGAGCGTTAGCGATGTCTGTCGCATTGGATTGATTGTTACGAATTATGGACACCAGAGAACTCTAGATACAGCAATACAAATTTATACAAGATAGCTATTTCGATAGCTTTCACAATAATCCAGAACTTACTGGTGAAGGAGTTGTCGTCGTTGTTGTTTCACTATTCACTGATGTGAACAATTCATGGGGAAACGTATGGCAAATAGTCGTAGTATAATCCGTTTCAGATGTGAAAACTGATACTGGCGCTGACGATAATAATGTTTGCAAACGCGTAGTATCACTGAACATCATTTCAGAAACATTCATGATCGAACTAGTGTATCTTGTCACATCTAATGAAGACATGATCGAGCTTCCACTTGCAGTTGAAATTGAACTTACAGTAGACGATTGAGACGTATTTAATGCTGGAGTGGAAGCAAAAGATGATTGTTCAGTTGATTCTTTTGTTGTATCACCGGTAGAAGCAGTCATATATGTATTCGACGATGATCTTAAAGAAGTTACTTCGCTGGAGGATTCGCTCATAATTATCGTCGCACTGCTCGTTGGGATCTCACTAGTTGACTCTGCTGTTGTGGTTGTACTAGTTGTTGAAACTGTTGTAGTCGTTTCTGTTGTTGTTGTACTAGTTGTTGAAACTGTTGTAGTCGTTTCTGTTGTTATGATTGTGATTGTTTCTGTTGTTGTGGTTGCGGTCGTTTCTGTTGTTGTGGTTGTGGTCGTTTCTGTTGTTGTGGTTATGCTAGTTGTTGTAGCCGTCTCAGTTGTTGTGGTGCTAGTTGTTGAAGTTGCTGTTGTGGTTTCTGTTGTTGTGGTTGTGGTAGTTGTTGAAGTGGTCGTAGTTGTCTCCGTTGTTGTGGTAGTTGTGGTGCTGGTTGATGAAGTAGTTGTAGTCGTCTCTGTTGTTGCTGTTGTTGTAACAGTTGTTGAAAGGATGGTGATGGTGGTAATAGTTGTTGAAATGGTCGGGGTGGCTGTTGTTGTTGTTATTTGTCGACTGGCGGTTGATGAGGAAGATGTCGGTTGCTCTGGTGGTGATTGATAGCCAGTAGACTGCGCCACATCGGCAGGTATTATATAGCATAGTAATGTTGTGGTCGGTGATTCAGAGGTGATGAAGAAAGTTGTGGTCTGTGGATTTAAGGTTGCTGGAATGGAATAGCAAAAGTTGAATTAATGCAAATTGATTTGAAGAACACATCTTGGCGAACGTTTTGGATGGACATGTGTTTAGATATTTATGAAGTCAGAAATTAGATCCAATGGATTTGTATAGCTGTATAGGGAGGTAGAGAAAGATTTGAATTGCACTGTCTGTTTTTATTTGATAATCAAGAAAAAACGAAGCATTTACACTCGAATAGATAGAATGTGGTAAAAAGTAGACTAAAATATTATCAAGCGGCTAAGATCATCATGCTGTGAGAAAAACGTTTTCTCACAATTGTATGGATCTATAGGAATTTCGCTCTATTATTATTCGGTCATCTCTAAGAATATGTCCAGACTCTGTGTTTTTCATTGATGAACCCATCTTTGATAATGTTACGAAATAGGCTTGTATTCGTGTTAGCTTACTGAATTGAACT